ATGATGTTTATATATCACAACTTTTTAATTTATTCATCTACTGGAAATAACTAGGGTGCATCTATATCTTAACTATAATAAATAATGTTGCTTTAAATGTTGTAGAATATACAGTGTTGACCATTTAATATTTTGTGAATCCATGCCCAAAAATAGAGCTGGCAGGTTGTTTGGGATTTCTATTTTTAATCTTTAAGGTAATTTTTTCACCTTTTTGGTTAAAAGTCAACTTCATCAATATAAATATAGCTACTCCTGATTTTTTAAATTTCTATTTATTTGTAGTACTGTCTTCCAGCCTTTAATTCCAAATCTGTGCTTGTATTTGTTGGTAAGATGGGTTTCTTTAAAATGCCAAAAAGGGTAGACTTTCCTTTGAAATCCATTCAACCTCTGTTATACCTTTTGACTAATGAATTCAAGCAATTTACATTTAAAATTATTATTGAGACATAGGCACATAGGACATTACCATTTTGTTATTTTTGCTGTTGTTTGTCTTTAATACTTTAGGTCATTTTATGTTCCATGTTACATATCTATGTTATTTTTATTAGTTTTTGTCTCAAGGTCCTGCTGATGTTACTATAAGATGTATGTGTGTCCCACTGGAAGATCTGGTCTCAAACGTGTCCTTTCTGATATCATTGTCACTCTCCTCCAAGTTAAATAATTTGTGTGTGTACTACTCTTTTTTGTTGTTGTTGTTCTGTTACTTTATAAAAACTCTTCTAAGATTTCCTTTATGTGCAGCTTGGTGTTGATAAATTCTTTTAGTTATTGATTTTCAGAGAAAACTCCTTACCCTTTCTGTTGCTTTGAATATTGATTTTGTAGGTTAAAGATTCCACGTTGAAAATCTACTGATATTCCCACTTCTTGCTTACACCATTTGTATTGACAAGTCTGCTAGCAATTTGCTTGGTGTTCACTTAGAGATTATCCTTTTTCTCTCGATGTTTTTAGTATTCTGTCTTTGACATTGACTTTCAACAGTTTTGTTCTAATTTGGCTTGGGGTGTGTCTCTGTTATTATTTTGTTGGAACTCTGGACCTCAATCACAATATCTGGCTCATTTCCTATAT